GGGGGGGGGGGGGGGGGGGGGGGGTGCGGACTTTTGGGCACCCTGTAGAGAAGTATCTCTAAGGACATTATTCAGGCCGCTTCCACTGGTCCTATATTTAGACTTACAAGGGGACCTTACACTCATGCCTCCTCAAAATTGATCGGCGTTCAACCATATTATAATTCATGAAAATCCATTAGTCACGTCTTTGAGCGTTATTGCCAATGTCCCCCGGAAAAGGGTATAATTAATCCCTGAATTTCGGGGTGCGGTGGGCCGTGCGCATATGCTAGGTTTGTTTGCGTGAGCCTTCATCTGAGACTCTGTGGTGTAGTGGCCAGCGGCGGCGACCAGCGCTTTGCAGGTCCGGGGTTAAAATCCCGACCGAACTCTCAATTTCATCCCTTTTTTTTGCCGATGCTTTCTCTATTAATTGATTTTTCAATATGTGCTACTTTTTAATTTTTTTTTTTTTACTACTATCACTAACATGTCACTTTTTATACGAGTGGTTTTATTGTCCTCCTTCCTCTTTCAGGCAGCCTAAAAAGAATTGAAATTTATTGGTCTCATAATCGCGGAACATTTGAACAAGATACGAAGATAAACGCAATATGGACCGCGTTTAACAGGAAGGAACCAAGCCACATCAGCTATTGCCAATAGTAACTGGGCAATTTAATTTTCACGAAAAAACGTTTGTGCGGATCCCTTTGAAAATGTTAAGGAACTTGCTTCGTACTATGGAAAAAATTGACTGAAAATTGCACGAAAATCCGCACAACTGTTTTCATGTAAAAAATTAAATTAGCCAATTAAATTTGGCAATAGCTGATGTGGCTTGGTTCCTTTATGTTTGACGCGGTACATATAGGCACATGTTAAACCTCTTGCTCTTTGTTGCATGCCTTTAAATTCGAAGTTCCGGAAAATCTTTCGTACTTCCACTTCCAGCTTTTCTACTATGTACAGTTATTTCATTTTACATCTACTAGACGTACGGCCATATTATCGGTTGGTCGAACAGCCCCCCCCCCCCCCCNCCCCTCCATTACAGATTCTGTGTACACTGAATCTATAACTGACACATGAAAAAACCAACGGTGGGATATTTCAATTAGACACATTAAGCAAATGAGCGCACATACACAAAATAAAAATTCTTACTGATCCACAGTCAGTTGCAGTTTTTCGGATGAAATGCGTTGTTGAAACGATAAAAGCAGAGGAATTTATGGCAGTAAGAACTTTGCATACCTAAATGCAAAATGCATGTCACAAGCACAATTTTTTTAGGAATGTCATTTGGAAGACAAACTTGTTTGGCGCTGATACAACTGATAATATCCTTCCAGTATCGACTATCTTTCCTTTGAGGCCGTTCATAAAATACGTAACGTTAATTTTCTGATTAGTCGGACTTCCCCCATCCCCCCTCGAATTCCCGATTCACGAGTTCGAGTTCACTTTCCTACAGAGCTTCACGAATTGAATCATCAATGGAGGGGGGAGGGGCTGTTCGACTAACCGATAATATGGCCGTACGTCTAGTAGATGTAAAATGAAATAACTGTACATAGTAGAAAAGCTGGAAGTGGAAGTACGAAAAATTTTCCGGAACTTCGAATTTAAAGGCATGCAACAAAGAGCAAGAGGTTTAACATGTGCATATATGTACCGCGTTAAACAGAAAAGAACCAAGCCACATCAGCTATTGCCAAATTTAATTGGCTAATTTAATTTTTTACATGAAAACAGTTGTGCGGATTTTCGTGCAATTTTCAGTCAATTTTTTCCATAGTACGAAGCAAGTTCCTTAACATTTTCAAAGGGATCCGCACAAACGTTTTTTCGTGAAAATTAAATTGCCCAGTTACTATTGGCAATAGCTGATGTGGCTTGGTTCCTTCCTGTTAAACGCGGTCCATATTGCATTTATCTTCGTATCTTGTTCAAATGTTCCGCGATTATGAGACCAATAAATTTCAATTCTTTTTAGGCTGCCTGAAAGAGGAAGGAGGACAATAAAACCACTCGTATAAAAAGTGACATGTTAGTGATAGTAGTAAAAAAAAAAAATTAAAAAGTAGCACATATTGAAAAATCAATTAATAGAGAAAGCATCGGCAAAAGCAAGGGATGAAATTGAGAGTTCGGTCGGGATTTTAACCCCGGACCTGCAAAGCACTGGTCGCTGCCGCTGGCCACTACACCACAGTGTTTCAGATGAAGGCTAACGCAAACAAACCTAGCATATGCGCACGGCCCACCGCACCCCGAAATTCAGGGATTAATTATACCCTTTTCCAGGGGACATTGGCAATAACGCTCAAAGACGTGACTAATGGATTTTCATGAACTAAAATATGGCCGAACGCCGATGGACTTTGAGGAGGCATGAGTGTAAGGTCCCCTTGTTACTGAAGAGGTGGCTACTTCCAGCCGGGATGTAAGTACCTTGTTTGCAGAGTTACCAAGTAAAAATGGATCATATCAGCAAAATGGACATCTTTTTATCAGGTTTCTAAAATGTCCCGGTCTTTTTTTAATTCAATGATTTGTGAGAAAGATCATGTTTTCAACACCCTCCTGACTGACGTTTATAAAAAATCATGCAAGCTGCAGTTGCGATTTTGCCTACGCTAATAAAAAACAAGAAAATTAATACAAGGCACTTACAAAGACTGACAGTTTCAAATTTTAAAGGACCTTAGTTTTTTAAATTGATCAACAGGTTTAAAAAAATACCATATGTTGGGCAAAAATGCCTATAACTGTTGCAAAGTTAATACAATAGATAACTCTCAAAATCTTTTGAAAGCCAAAATGTGACAACATGTTGCATGGTATGAGCCAACATAATGCTTCTTGCAAACTAGTTGTTCAAATCTTCAACGACCAGCGGGCCGATTATTGAAATTTAAACCAGCCCGATAAGACATCGAATTGCGATATATTGCACGGTTAAGATAGGGCTATGTCTTGTCGTGAGCGGCGACATAGAGTCGATGTCATTTCAATAATCGCCCCGCAGGGCTTATTAGAAATCTCGGAGTATGCTGGCAAAAGTAGTTTCACAGATCTGCTTCATCCTTACTAGGTACTTCTGAAAATACTGCACATAATAGCCTTGCTTTTCAAAAACCCTTCTTAAAAAGGTATTCAGTGATTGTACCAAAGACACATAACATATATTGGGTCTCAAATCCTTGACTCTTACAAGAGGAAGCAAACTTCTATTGCAATGATACTTGATTTCTTCTCTCTGACAAATTTATCATGTATATTTTCAGGATTTAAGTACCCTGAAACCATTACAAATTAACGTTATGGGTATCCTGGAATAAGCATACCAGAGCATCTCCTCTCCGGACTTCTTTTAACCATTTGCCTTGAAATGATGAGTATAAATATTGGGGTACTTATTGTGGGTAACACGGTCGTTCTGGGACAAGACTAAAATAATGAGATATCTTGAAATGAGACCTGGAAAAATTATTTTCGTCAGTTCCATAGGTAATGTTTTGACGGATTGCACTACTTATACAGGGTGCGGCAAAAGTCCCGGGACGGCTGTTTATTTGTTAAACGGCTACACGTAGAAAAACGAATTTTGGGGGATGTTCTTGGGTCAAAGTAAGCTACTTTTTGGCACTCCCCAAAATTTTTTTGGGGGCCCCCCTAAGGGAGGGCGGGGGGCAACTTTTTTTTTCAAATGGCAACCCCCCCTTTGTGATACCTCATTCGAAAGATAATAAAGAAAGAAAATTTTTGGCGCAAACTGCAGGTCAAAATGTTCATTTTTGACAAAATGGCGGCCGCTCAAAGTTCAAAATGGCGGAAATTTGGCATCTCCGTTGTTTATTGACGGATTGGTGTGAAACTCGGAATCCTAGGGTTTTTCGAGATGAGAAAAACGATTCTGGCATTGGTTTTCCAGAAAAGTCAGTCCTTTTCAAAATGGCGGCGGTCAAAATGGCGGCCTCGAGCGGGAAGTGGATATTTAGGTTGCATATCGTTGGATTTGCATGAAACTTGGT